TGTCTCCCTTCCTGGGGTCGGCGGCACTGGGCGGCAGCCCTTAAATATATATATCACGGTCCAGAATCTCGGTTCAAGAATCACCAGTACGTACAAATTCAAAACCTTGCTTCTGAATCCAGCCAGTCGGTGAGGAGCTTGGAAAGAGCAAGCTAAGAACTTGTAATATGTGTTTCCGCTGGATGGGTGGACTTGGCCTACGCGTTTCACATGCAAAGTGGGAGATGCTCCAATCCGCTGAAAAAGTATGTCTTGCAACGCAACTGTTTCAGCGTGGGTTACTCGCCGAGTGAAGCTGAACAAAGTCCGCATCTCTACGAATCACGTTCGTTGTTTCGACATGTTTCGACGAATCACGTTTGGCTGACCAAGATCGCCTGCAAATGAGACTAATGGAAGAGGCCTATCCAATCTCAAACACATGGAACAAAAAAAACGAAACTATTGAAGAGGCCCATCGATCTCAAGAGAAGCACACTGATTTTTGGCCAAGCGGCCCACACCCATGCCCTTTCGGATGTAGATCTTCCTCACCATTGACGCAGTGCGAACATACAACCAGTCCGGGTCCTCAGCTGACAATACTGAAGGCTCTGGGGCTCTCCCCATCGGAAGTTCAGGGTAATTACTCGCTGTATCCAAATAGAACAAACGCATCCATCCAAACGCAGCACGCCAAAGATCCGAACATCCAAACACCGCCTCCGTGGTCTCGCTCATGACAAGCTCAGTGTGTACCCTTCTCTCGCACAAAGCATGAACCAAGGTCAGCATCAAATTTAGATGATTGCAACAAAGTTCTGTCCAATCAAAAGCCGCACCCAAAGGAACACTAGCAACGCTACCAGCTGAATGAACCAAACAGTTCAAATTTCCTGACATTCCCGCACTCCAATGGGATGCACCAGTCCTCCTCAAAGGACATTGTTTCATGCCACCCGACCCTTTCCCTCCAACTCACACGCCACGCGTTCTTCAACTTCGCACTGCTTTTCCCAGGCACTGAGGGTGGCAACTCTCTTGCCTTGCTGGTCTTCACCACATCGGCCCACTTGGGCAGCTCGAAGCGGCCTGGCCACCGGAACGCCCTGGGCGCCCTGGGCGCCTACTCTGGAGCCAATCGGGTACAAACAGGTTTCTGATCCGCTTAGGATTGTGTGGTCTCGCTTGGACAGGCATATGGAGGAACCCTCTGTCCTCGGCCTGATGCTTCCAGGCATTTTGAGTGATTGCCAACGGGATGTTGCCTAAGTCTTTGGATGTCCAAAAGCCAGTATAATACGATCCCGAAAAAGATAGGGGCGTTCGCGCAAACAGCAAGTGTAAACATCAGATTTACAAACAATTTAAACATACTATTCCAGGCTTGGCTGGCCATCTTGGGCAACCTGCTGTCATGGCATGTCAAGGCCTTGGCGCTTCAAGTGCTGAGAGAAGGCCGAGATGAACTTCTCGGGCTCCACATCCTTCACGGTCACAATCTTCCTGCCCTCCTATGCCAATAACGGGACGCCAGGCTACGAATACCCTTCGACTCCGACTTCCACCTAAACATCCTAAACTCTTGCCCTCAAAGAATAATAGCATCATCAGTTGCTGGAAAATGGAAATAGAATCTGCAATCAGATTGAGACTTCACAAATGCAAAATCCCACAACGAGTCCCTACTTTGAATCTTGGTCACCTACAGGTTTACTCTGGACTGTCTGGAATAAGAGTGCCTTCTAAGCTGGGCCCAAGCGCCTGACTTAAGGGTTGCCTAATGAGACTTGGCAAAAACAAACACCTCCTAATACTAAAGCCCATGCATTGTTTGTAGAAGTGGATAAACCAATATAGGTGTTGTTTGTTACTGTTATTTGTTGATGTGTAATGTGTTCTATCGTCTACCCACAGTAGGCACGTGTTGCATCGTCCAGGTTTTTCGGCATCGAATGACACCTTTCAAATCTGCAACACATTCCAGCCTAACCAGTGTTCACAAAGCCTGCAACGCACACCACAATACCCACCAGCTCTCACCAGCTGTGCAAGGAAGGGATCGTTTTTTGCTAAACAGCTTGTGCTTTGAAGGAAGAATCACCAAGAATCACGAAGGTGCTTGCTCTCCTCGTTCTGTAGTCTTTCAGAACTGTTTGTTTTGGTTGAACATCCAGTTCAGAACCATCAAACTCCCAATGTAGACATGCAATCCAACCAAACCCGCCATTGTTCTGCTTATTTGTTTTGTGCCTATGCATGTGTGATTTCCCAGGGTTAAGAATGGAACAACATGGAACAGGTCAAACAAAATGACCACGGAAACAAAACTATATAATCCCCCAAACTGATTCCAGATTTGGTCTTCAACATGTTTGGTGTGATTTGAAGTCTCGTGGCTTTGTCTCCAACACAATTCCAAGCACAAAATACTACTTGTGAAGAATGGAAACTACAAAAGTATTGCTTTGCGCGTGGCAAGTCCGCGAGTCCTTGAACATCTTGTCATAGCACTCGATGGACATGGCGCTGGTTCTTTGTTCAAGGCCAATTTTCCGCAGCCAAAATTGCGTGCTGCGGGCAGGACCACACCTTCCGGGTTATTGAGAGGGTGAACATTCAAACCAGGCATTTGGTTGAACTGACGAATTTGTGCATAAGGATGATTCGAAGGCCGAAAGGCAACCCTTTTTTGCTACAAAATATGATTGCCGCCGAACATGCTATGCGACAGTCCATTGTGGACGTAGCAGCTGATGGCAATGGTCACGATTAGGCAGAACATGTGGATGAGGATGACAATGATAATATTGATCGTCATGTTCATGCACCAATGTGTCAACAAAACCTTGAGGGACCCACATCTTATCCAGGTTCAGCCAAAGCAAGTGACCTCCAAGTTGTTGTGTTTGGCCATGTAAAAATCAAGACAATGGCCCCTGATGACCCCTGTCACAATCCAGAAATCGGAACCACAAACCCAACCTTGGGCTAATGGAACCGCAAATTGGTGCCAAATGTTATGCGAGGCCTGACCTCAACGTACGCCCGGAGAGGGAAATAAAAGCGTTTGAGCAGAGGTGAAGTTAGGTTGGAGAAGAAAGGAAACTGAGGATCGGACAGCCTCTGATCAAGAATGGCAGAGACGTGAAGCACAACATCTCAAAGTGTCCAAAGCAGAGGTGTGGAAGCAGCTCGACCCCCGACCGGTGTCGCCAGGGGTCTAGGATGGTCTAGGCATCCCTCGTGGTCGGCGGCACGTAGATCGCCGGAGGGATCTAAAGATTCTACTAGCGCCATGTGGTAAAAGCTTATGGATGTCTCACAGTTGCTGCCGCCAGCACCGCGCAATTGCGCTGATATTTTGTTGCCAGTGGAAGATGGGTTTGCAAATGACCAACATGGAAGCGCCAACATTCACACTGTGTCCTGAATGCCTTTGCGCATCCCGGTCTCCGGCAAAGCACTCACCTCTGCATTGCTGATCCCCCCATCCTATCCGGTCCTTTGGAAGACCTCGTCTCCGCTTGGCAAACGGAATCTTGTAGTTCCTGGATGTGAAGGCGAGGGCAACAAAGTAATCCGTGAGCCCAAACAGAGGTGTCCTGCCAGTCTACAGCCCAAACAGATGTGTCCTGGGTGCGTCCAAAACCGTGAGAAGAATCACATCAACAAGCGAAATGTAACGAACTCATATGAACTCCCTTATTTAGTGGTGTGAGGCATTAAAAAGTAGTTCTCTGCCAACATCAACCCCTTTCTCCATCTCCATCCCCGCAGGAGCCCGGTGCGACACCAGTTCGGACCAGGGAGGTGAGGTCTCACATCGTCTCACATGGTCCAGACTCCCGTCTGATCAGACTGATGGACCAACACCCTGATGGACCAAAATGTAAACATACATCATACATATATATATATATATACATATACATATATATATATATGTATGGCCTTAGTAGGAAGCAGCAAGCAGGAGCCACAGACCAAGGATGAAATGGTCAAACAGATTCAAACAGATGGTGGCAGGGGAGCTCCCTGGCATGGAAGACCATCAGTTTGAGTTGCAGAAGAACCACATTGTTTGCACGGCATGCAAAGGCCGCATTTTGCGGAACTCAGCTCGTGACAAACTGTGGGCTCTGGCACAAGCCCAGTGCTGGAACCGAGCATGGGAGCCCATGGATACATGGCAAGGGCATGCAAGCCATTCGATGTGGCGGCAAGGCGGTAAGCTTTTTTGCACCCAATGCCGAGCGCATGCCATCCACAAGGGCCAGGATTTCTCAGCCAGCAAGAGTTCGAGGCAACCATGCGGAGATGGACACCAGCAGGCAACGTTGCCTATGCGTTTCAGGGCCAAAACGGCCTAGTGCAGAGAAGCTCAGGAAAAGACACGAGAAACAAAAAGATGTATGGCCTATAATCACTTAGTAAATGGCCTCCAACCTAGTAGCAATGGCCTCCAACCTACTAGCGATGGCCTCCCACCCAATAGCGATGGCCTCCAACCTACTAGCGGCCAAACATATATACTGTATATAATATATAGCTTGCTTGGAGATACTTAGCTGTCCAAGTGTCCACGCGCTTGCAGGTAGTTCAGAATCAGATTTCCAGCTACAAAATATCATGTGGGTTCAAGATCAGTTGCAAATAACTGGATAATTACACGATCTGCATCTTTCCGTCTGCAATATGCTTCCTGTCACTGTGCACACTTTTGACTTGGTTTATCTATTGTTGCTGTCATTGTCTGTCTAGAAATCCCTGTTGCACATCACCACCAAAAAAAGATTCAGTTGCACAAGTCCACACTTTCTTCCTCTTGATCAGTCATCGTCTGGTCCAACTGGCGACCCACTCGGCCCACGCCTGGGACACCAGCTAAGCTGAAGCCCCTGTGGTGGCAAGGACAGGTGGGATCCCACCAGGAAAAGTGGTTGATTTAGGCCGCCACGATCCTGATTTTTTTAAATACAAATATCTGGACCTATTTCTGATGATGTGGAGACAATATGAGTGGTTTCTATATCAAGCAAAGTTTCAGGACATAGGTTTGTGCTTTAATTCGGAGATCTCCAACCAATGGGTAGACGGGGGTCGTTGCCTGGGAGGTCTCCCTATTTGAGCTACACATGATACACACCCACATCTGTGGCAAATACTCGGAGAATGCCACACTCGTCATCCGGTCACCTCGCCTGTAGGCTCATCCACTCCGGAAGCTCGTGGCCCTGATTGATCACCATGCGCCGCATCGACTGGCAAAGGATACTTCTCCACGGGAGTCCCATGGATCCCTCCACAGTTGCAGAGCGGCAAATTGATCAGGAGACAAACCTTCCATGTGGTCCTCCCTGCCTTACACCGCCCTCCAAGAACGGCTAGGGCGGCTAGCGGCTAGTGCTTGCGCAGTGCATGACAGGGTCAGAGTCACTCGTGAGAAGGTGTCTCAGTGTCCATGTCCCCAGGACTTTAAGAAAAGGTCCAAAGTCTAAACACGGTGCTCCTTCGCAAAAAGTTGTTCATATTTGGTGGAGAACAAACCTGATATACTTCAATAAAGCCACTAAAACAAACAACTCTTTCTACAGCACCAAACGTGAGTCCTATACATCTCACCGTACTCAACGTAATTATATACTTGTAGGAACCCTGCAATTCCACCGCGCACGGACCCCGAAACGAAAAACAACTACGAAAAACACACGCACACACCGCACCGCAAAGATCTTCTCGCGGCCGGTGACTAAGGTCACGGTGGTGCCCTGCTTCCCGATGCGGCCAGTGCCTCAAATTCGCTGGGAGCTGCTTGATGTCAAAGTGGTTAATAGACACCCCAAATCACCTCTAAAAGGGGGCATTGGTATATGTCATTCAATGACATTGTATACATGACATATATCATATGATGTCATCGGCAGGTGACTTGAGATATTCTGTCGGACTCACTCAGTCTTTGGTCCACTGGAGGGACACCCCAAAAGAATGAACCGTCGCTTGGGATTTGAGCCAAGAGATCTGTGGGGGAGGGATGTGTACATAACATGCCATATACAATATTATGTTATAATATGTTACATAGCATGCAGAACAGGACTGTCGTGGACATTCGTGGACTGTAAAAAGCCGTTTAACGGGAACATGTAGCTGAGATGAATGTTCACAGGTTGGAGGCCATCGCTTCTAGGTTGGAGGCCATTGCTCATAGGTTGGAGGCCATCGCTAATAGAAACAATGAACAATGAACATGAAAAGGGGTCGCGAAATAGATTCACGTCGGATGCATCACCCAACACAGGATTCCAGAATGACACATGTTGACACACGTCCCCGCCTCGTTCGCTTCTTAAACCAATTTGAGTTCTTAAGAACACAACAAAAACAAAACACGATTCTGAATGATAATATGTTTTGCATGTTATGATATGCTATGATGTATGTTTTTTTTGAACAAACATGAGATACCGGGCGCTTTCACTTTGGAGCTGCTCCTGAACTGAACGAACCTCGTCTCCGGCCAACCGGGTCACGACCACAGCGGTGGACGAACTCATCCAAGACCTCAAAGCGTCGTCCATCCGAAGGTGGTCATTGGCTCTCTCTCTCTCTCTTTCTCTCTGAGTGTGTATAATTCATGTATTGTTGGACTATAGGAATGTTCTTCAATTATGTCATTTCATGGTATTTCACGCTTTGTGCTTAGTCTATTCTTTAAACATTAACATATGTGTCCTTGTTCCAGAGTCCTACGGAGTCTCCGGATTCTACTGCAACCCCACATCTCAAGATCCTGATCCAAAGCTCTAGAACCAATTCTGCAGATTCGTGTGATGTCATGCTCAACTCTCCTGTCGCTAAGGACAGAGATGTTGTACTGAGAAGAACCAATCATGCATAATGACCCTAAGTTGCCAAAGGTGCTACCAGTAGACAAGGGATACGTCAAACACAAGGACCAGTCATTGATTGGTCTGTGTAGAACATTCAGTCGTTTGCATTGCTGGTGGGAAATGAAACATCCAAATCCCCTAGGCCCGTGGGTACCTTCCGTCCACTGTGCCACTACGCTACACTGATAGTAGAAAAATCAGGGGTGGCAATGGCTAGTCAATGGAATTGAGCGACAAGTTCTCAAGCGAGCCCCCTTTCACTTTCCTAATTGTCTACAACCTAACAAAGCTTATAATTAGGCCTCGATGATTCTCACACTTTGTCATCCCTCAAATTGCACAAAACATCAGGTTGAGCATCTCTCGGTGGAAATCCCGCCAGGCGATCGTTGGTGCCACCGTTCCAGCCCGATTCTCCTGTTCGCGCGTGTTCCACGCCTTTCCTTGCGGGTCTTCCACCGGGTCTTCCGTACTCACCGAGCTCGCTCCGGAGTCTCCGGGGTCAGTCTCGTCTCGGGCTTCGGGCTTCGACCCTGAGGGACTGGGAGCGGTCTCCGGGGTGCCCGGCGAGGGGTAGCTCAAAGTTCACCACATGAGTGATCTCCGGGATGTCCAAGCCTCGAGCCTCGGGTTGCGCCGGAAACAAGACGAGAGAGAGAGAGAGACGAGGAGTTCGGGTGCCGAGAGAGGTCGGGTATGGTTGGGTGGGGGGTTCAGAGGGGTGGGATGGTGAAGGGTGGGGAGTTCAGAAGCTTGATGCACACTATGGCGGACCACGGTGGACCTATTTACCATGATTGTGCCCATCCATAAAATTCAATGAAACATGTGTTTTCAAAAAAAACGTTCATTGGTCAGTTAGCTTGACGACATATCCTCTGATTTCTTCTTGGTACATTCACAAGAAACGTCCGCATTGTTTTGCAGCATGTCAGGAGGTGCGTCTTCTTTTAACTCTTTTCCAACTCGGAGCCCTGGCTGCGATATCCGTGGCCACCAAGATCTCGGCTTTTCCTTCTTTCAGGGCCTCAGCGAGGGGAGCCAGCCGCCCCTGAGGGTGTTTTTGCTGAGCCCCGCGGACAAAAACCGTTAAGGTATGGAGAACTGGCCCGCAGCACCACTGACACCTTCGATCTGAGGCTGGTGAACCTTGTTGCCTCGAGACTGTTGCAATTGCGATGGATAGCAGGGGGTGCGGCAAAAGTTTCCAAAAACAACCGTTCACCACAATGGCTGGAATGACCTTTACCACCCAAGGTGGCTGACACTGGGTGGCCTACGGTTGACAAAGCAGCTTACTGGGAGATCTGTAGATCAGTGGATCTACACCGGACAAAACAATTTGCAGCCCCAAACTTGATTGGCTACCGTCTTCTTTGTTGATAAACCTGTGTCACAGTGTTTATAAACTTTGCTAAGCCGGTTCATGTACACTGAGCTCATCATTTCTTGCATAATAGCAATGGAATCCAACTTTGGGAACTTGTGAGGTCACCCGCCAGAATGAGGTCGGTCAAAGTCTTTGACCCTGAGAAATCATTCCATCTCATACGACCGAAAGGATATTCGCGCACTAACTTTCTACCAGTTGTAACATCATATATACTCCTTTATGTTTGTGTGTGTGTGGGAGCAAGACAAGGCCGAAACGTAGCGAGCAAGCAAAGAAACCATCTAGAAGCACCGGAAGGATAAATAAGGACACCTGCAAGTCAAAATACCAAGGGAGTGTTCCTCAAAGTAGAGGAACCTCATGTAGGTTTCTTGACTTCGTGGATGGATCTTCCCTTGACCGCCACAGGGACCCGGAATCGGTATGATTCTTCCACCGGATCGGACGAAGACTTCCCGGCCTTGATGGACTTGCTTCGGAAGGATTGCGTCATGCCGCCGTGGCAAGTGACCACCTGAGCTCTCAAGAGATGCAATGCAGGAAGCAATGTATATATATATATATGTATACTGTTGTTTTCCGCGTTGAATAAGTTCAATGCAGGGTCTTTTGCTTACCTTTTCAAGAACAGCTGTTTCCTTCCAAAGAAAAGACACTTCTATGTGGTGAATAGACTCTTTATTAGGTTTGGATACATAGGGGGACCCTCGGAATCATGGGATTTCCCAACTATAATGACCATTTGGCTGGGGATGATTTGGGGGTCCCCGGTTGAGAACCGCCAAATGGGATCAAATTGGTGTGTGATGGAAGAAGGTTCTTTAACCCATTTGTTGGTTCTCGAAGGAGGGAATGCAGTGTTGTGTCGACGGACAGTGCCTATGAATACACATCAACACCTCATGGACTTGACTTGCTGTCATATTGGCACGCAGTCTGTACGGTCACATAGTCACATGACTTCAAGCTTCCGCTGTTTTTGGTAATTTCAACCCAGTACTCCTTCTGTTGGTCTAAGTAACTGGGATCGCAGCCTCCAAGGCACCTCTTACCTGCTGCAGGTTCTATCCGTGTTGACCATCTGCATGCATTGAGCTTTTTTCAGGGCAAATGCCAAAGCCTGCGAAACCGCATCCAGCAAACAACCATGACACTTGCCTAGTTGTGCTTGTCACTTAGATCAGGTCCAAGGCTTTTTGTTGGGGTTCTAGGCTGGAGTATTTCTGTGTGACCGATAAGGCTTCAGGTTAAGTGACAGCCTCTCTTCCTCTGGAAGATTTCGCTTCTCAAATGGTTTGATGGTAGGCGTAAGCAACTTCATCCTGCTAGACAAGCAACGCCAAGAAAGTGCTCCTTGAGATATTTGAAGACTTCCATGACCTGCAGTCCCAGTTTCTTTCAGCCGGCAAATGATTTACACCATAGGAGGAAGACCGGCAGAACACCATGACGGCGGAATGGGACGCAACAAATGCAGGGAAGGCCTGCTCACTTACACTGAATCCATCTTGCGTCGTATGCAGCCAAGAAGGCCGCCAAAATTGAAGATCCATTGAAACAGGATAAAGTTAAAGGGGATGGAGGACATCGCTATTAGGATTGAATTCAGCGCTAGTAGGATGGAGGCCATCCCTAGTCTAGTAGGTGGGAGGTCATCACTAGTAGGTTGGAGGCATAGCAAATTCATCCAATATTGATATATAAACATTGAGTTGCTAATGGATACCTGTGGTAACTTTTGACAGGAATCATCATTCCAAGGGGCCCCCCTTGCAATTTCTAGAATGGGCCTTTACCTACACTGGAGTGTGGCTAATCTTGCTTTCCAACTCCTAGGTCACCTTGGACAGAGCAAATGCTGAAACATGCTGAAACGCATCTGCGGCTTTGGAGTGACAACCTCGCATCAGCCACACATAATATATATATATATATATGACTCATTGCCGTCCTCAGCACCTTTTTGCTGCCAGATGCTAGT